ATGTTTGATGCTAAATATCTTAGCTCTAACTCTTTTGGTTCTTTAAAAGAAGATTTTTTAAGTTTTTACTATATGCATATAGGGAAAATCAATGACCCCCTGGGGTGGGGCCAATTTTGACCCCAGGGCTTTTATTTGAACAAACTTGGTAGACACCTATTAGAACATGTTTGATGCTCAATATCTTAGCCATAGCTCTTTGAGTTCTTTAAAAGAAGATTTTTTAAGTTTTTACTATATGCATATAGGGAAAATCAATGACCCCCCGGGGCGGGGCCAATTTTGACCCCAGGGCTTTTATTTGAACAAACTTGGTAGACACCCATTAGAACATGTTTCATGCTAAATATCTTAGCTCTAGCTCTTTTGGTTCTTTAAAAGAAGATTTCTTAAGTTTTTACTATATGCATATAGGGAAAATCAATGACCCCCCGGGGCGGGGCCAATTTTGACCCCAGGGCTTTTATTTGAACAAACTTGGTAGACACTTATTAGAACATGTTTCATGCTAAAAATCTTAGCTCTAGCTCTTTTGGTTCTTTAAAAGAAGATTTTTTAAGTTTTTACTATATGCATATAGGGAAAATCAATGACCCCCTGGGGCGGGGCCAATTTTGACCCAAGGGCTTTTATTTGAACAAACTTGGTAGACACTTATAAGAACATGTTTGATGCTAAATATCTTAGCCATAGCTCTTTGAGTTCTTAAAAAGAAGATTTTTTAAGCTTTTACTATATGCATATAGGGAAAATCAATGACCCCCCCTTGGCGGGGCCAATTTTGACCCCAGGGCTTTTATTTGAACAAACTTGGTAGACACTTATTAGTACATGTTTCATGCTAAATATCTTAGCTTTAACTCTTTTGGTTCTTTAAAAGAAGATTTCTTAAGTTTTTACTATATGCATATAGGGAAAATCAATGACCCACTGGGGTGGGGCCAATTTTGACCCCAGGGCTTTTATTTGAACAAACTTGGTAGACACCTATTAGAACATGTTTCATGCTAAAAATCTTAGCTCTAGCTCATTTGGTTCTTTAAAAGAAGATTTTTTAAGTTTTTACTATATGCATATAGGGAAAATCAATGACCCCCTGGGGCGGGGCCAATTTTGACCCAAGGGCTTTTATTTGAACAAACTTGGTAGACACTTATAAGAACATGTTTGATGCTAAATATCTTAGCCATAGCTCTTTGAGTTCTTAAAAAGAAGATTTTTTAAGCTTTTACTATATGCATATAGGGAAAATCAATGACCCCCCGGGGCGGGGCCAATTTTGACCCCAGGGCTTTTATTTGAACAAACTTGGTAGACACTTATTAGAACATGTTTCATGCTAAATATCTTAGCTCTAACTCTTTTGGTTCTTTAAAAGAAGATTTTTTAAGTTTTTACTATATGCATATAGGAAAAATCAATGACCCCCTGGGGTGGGGTCAATTTTGACCCCAGGGCTTTTATTTGAACAAACGTGGTAGACACTTATTAGTACATGTTTCATGCTAAATATCTTAGGTTTAACTCTTTTGGTTCTTTAAAAGAAGATTTTTTAAGTTTTTACTATATGCATATAGGAAAAATCAATGACCCCCTGGGGTGGGGCCAATTTTGACCCCAGGGCTTTTATTTGAACAAACTTGGTAGACACCTATTAGAACATGTTTGATGCTCAATATCTTAGCCATAGCTCTTTGAGTTCTTTAAAAGAAGATTTTTTTAAGTTTTTACTATATGCATATAGGGAAAATCAATGATCCCCCCGGGGCGGGGCCAATTTTGACCCCAGGGCTTTTATTTGAACAAACTTGGAAGACACCCATTAGAACATGTTCCATGCTAAATATCTTAGCTCTAGCCCTTTTCGGTTCTTTAAAAGAAGATTTCTTAAGTTTTTACTATATGCATATAGGGAAAATCAATGACCCCCCGGGGCGGGGCCAATTTTGACCCCAGGGCTTTTATTTGAACAAACTTGGTAGACACCTATTAGAACATGTTTCATGCTAAAAATCTTAGCTCTAGGTCTTTTGGTTCTTTAAAAGAAGATTTTTTAAGTTTTTACTATATGCATATAGGGAAAATCAATGACCCCCCTGGGGCGGGGCCAATTTTGACCCCAGGGCTTTTATTTGAACAAACTTGGTAGACACTTATTAGAACATGTTTGATGCTAAATATCTTAGCCATAGCTCTTTGAGTTCTTTAAAAGAAGATTTTTTAAGTTTTTACTATATGCATATAGGGAAAATCAATGACCCCCCGGGGCGGGGCCAATTTTGACCCCAGGGCTTTTATTTGATTAAACTTGGTAGACACTTATTAGTACATGTTTCATGCTAAATATCTTAGCTGTAGCTCTTTTGGTTCTTTAAAAGAAGATTTTTTAAGTTTTTACTATATGTATATAGGGAAAATCAATGACCCCCCGGGGCGGGGCCAATTTTGACCCCAGGGCTTTTATTTGAACAAACTTGGTAGACACTCACTAGAAGATGTTTCATGCCAAATATCTAAGCTCTAGCTCTTATGGTTTTTTAAAAGAAGATTTTTTACGTTTTTACTATATGTATATAGGGAAAATCAATGACCCCCCGGGGCGGGGCCAATTTTGACCCAAGGACTTTTATTTGAACAAACTTGGTAGACACTCACTAGAAGATGTTTCATGCCAAATATCTAAGCTCTAGCTCTTATGGTTTTTTAAAAGAAGATTTTTTACGTTTTTACTATATGTATATAGGGAAAATCAATGACCCCCCCGGGGCGGGGCCAATTTTGACCCAGGGGCTTTTATTTGAACAAACTTGGTAGACATTCATTAGAACATGTTTCATGCTAAATATCTTAGCTGTAGCTCTTTTGGTTCTTTAAAAGAAGATTTTTTAAGTTTTTACTATATGTATATAGGGAAAATCAATGACCTCCTGGGGTGGGGCCAATTTTGACCCCAGGGCTTTTATTTGAACAAACTTGGTAGACACTCACTAGAAGATGTTTCATGCCAAATATCTAAGCTTTAGCTCTTACGGTTTTTTAAAAGAAGATATTTAAAGTTTTTTCTTTCGGTTGCCATGGCAACCAGAGTTCTGCATGGAATTAAATTCTTTGAACAATTTTTAAAGGTGACCACCAAAGGAACATTCCTGTGAAGTTTGGATAAAATTGGCTTAGTGGTTTATGAGGAGATGTCATTTAAAGTAAAAATTTACGGACGGACGGACGACGGACGGACGCCGGACGAAAAGCGATCACAAAAGCTCACCCTGTCACTTTGTGACAGGTGAGCTAAAAAGTGAAAAATAAATCTCAAATTGTCTCTGGAATCCCTTTACAGTAATTTATGTTTCCATAATTTATATTTGTCAATTTTTCTGCTCGTCTGTACCGTGATGCATTGATACCGGAAACCGTTTAACGAATAAAAGGTCTACTTGGAGAAAAGCGCCGCAATAGGGATTGTCGAGGGCACTTGTCAAAATTGCGCCTTTCAATAACAACAACCACTTACATCATACTAGAATTGATTTTTATCAGTTATCTAACATCTTTTGCGTTTTGAGGATTACAACCAATGAAAACACTGGGTCATGTCCTGAAGTATAGAGTGTAAATTTCTAATTGTTAGCAAGAATTTAATATAAATTAATGCCTTATAGTAACGATTTGTAACATAACCTTTATCATAGTAAAATACAATCTCTGCAGAGCAAAACCCTATGCTGGAGTAAGACAAAGGTTTGAGGAGAATTTTAATATAAAAAAAAACATGTAAGTGCGCATTTTATGTACAAGTAAACACACTAAAAATAAACAGAAACAAAAAGTATTCAAATCCCATGAGATAAATAGACAGTCCCACGGGGAACTCGCTTGTTTAACAGTATTTTTTCTAACGTATTACATATTCAAGCGGATACGGAACTTAAATACAGTAAGTTTATCTGTAAAATCATTATTAGATTAATCCGTGTGCAAAAAAAACAAACAAAAAACAACTGCAATCACAAAAGAAAGACTAAATAAACAATGCGAATTTCAAAATAATCGGAAACTATTCAAGGATAAACAACTTACAATAATTTGTTGTTTTCGACCTATTTACAAAATTGCTACTTTATAAGCCATTAAATATAGCTGAGTTGACGTTACGGTATCTTAACTTTCTTAACTTTACGCTTCAGTTTGTACAAAATGACAAAGTCTGTTATACTATTTGATTGTCTATTTTTTATTTTATAAAAATGTCGAAAAAGTGAGGTACATTGTCTAAGTACAGTTTTTACATCTATTTTTTACAAATAGTAGTACATTTATTTATACTTATAGCTGAGGAAAAACACAATTGAGCCGTGTCATGACAAAACCAACATAGTGGGTTTGCGACCAGCATGGATCCAGACCAGCCTGCGCATCCGCGCAGTCTGGTCATGATACATGCTGTTCGCTGTCAGTTTCTCTACTTGTATTAGGGTTTGTAAGCGAACCGCATGGATCCTGATCAGACTGCGCGGATGCGCAGGCTGGTCTGGATCCATGCTGGTCGCAAACGCACTATGTTGGTTTTGTCATGACGCGGCTCAATTAATGATTACAAGTGATGTTGATATTTTACAGAAAATGGTGTTGAACTTCTGTGTCACGTAAAATTGTGCCAGTATCACAAGAAATACCAGGCTAACTAATTCATTAATAATAACTCGCCGGAAGTGAATCACGGGTTAGACATTGTTAGACATGAGTCAGTCAAATCACCAATTAATTATAATTCCCTTTAAAATGAATATTTTACATGAATGAACTTGACAACTAACTATTCCCTTTAATATCAACAAAAGTATATAATTATGTGAGCCAAATTGCCATTTAATTTATCTCTTTAATATAAATATTATACATGAATGAAGTCTTCAATTGATTATTCACTTAAAGAAATACATTATGCTTGAGTACAACTACAAACTAATTATTTACTTTAAACGTAAATAATCATATACATATATGATTGAAACTGTCCATTCTTTATTTATTCACTTTACGAACATGTAAATTATAATAAATATTCAGAATAAACCGTCTAATGGAAACATTAATTAACAAGTATATTATAAAACATATATAATTACTTATGAATATTCAACAATATTCACTTATGAATATTCAGCATATACAATATAATGTTTATTTATAGATAGAAAAATGCATCCTCAGTCAACGTGCAGGGACATGGCTCTGGCCATCAAGCGGTCAGTCATTGGTGAACATGATTTGATGGATTTCCGTTCCGCCAGCAGGGACCTGAAATATATGCATTAATTAAAACTTGATTGTACATCGTGGAGATCGAGGCACGGGACATCGCAGAAGATTTGAAGCTAGGCTGGACAGGTTAAGAGCCTAGCGCTGTTTCTGTACTTACAGGGCAGATCCTTGAGGTCAAACCTCTAACACATTGCCCTGGGGAGTTGAGCTACTCTCTCCAGTTTATAAGCCAGGTGTCAATGTTCTGATTGAAGCCTGGGGGAGTAGCCCTACATGGTAGGCAGGGACGACGTGAAAGAGTATTAGGGTGCGTGAGCTCCAAGAAATTAGTGATGGCTACCCTCCTTTTTATTATTGTCACAGGTTACTGTACGTTAAGGCGCTCACTGACCGCTGTACAGTTACCTAATTTCGACTCAAAATTCATACCTTTGGCAAATACTCTGTGGGAATTGCACGGAGTACATTATGTACTCTTTAAGACGTAAGCGCTAAACTCCTCCTCACGCTAACAGGGTTAAAGCCCCGTTTCATCGTCGGTTACTCATGGTATATATTCAATACACGTATACAGTATTTAGATTATGTAGTACTAGTATATAGGAATATATACCGTCGGACTACAATTTCTAGATATGTACGGAATATATAATGTGGGTAACCGACCATGGTCCTATATTTACTTGTAAGAACAGATACGGATCAAATTAAATATCTTAATTTGTAACTGCAGGACGGACGACAGTTACCAAGGCACATGAGCTGCTATAATATGGGTTTTTCTCTTGTTTTATCATTAAATATGAGTAACTGAATATTGTCCATACCTTGCTAGTTTATGATGTTTGGCCTCATTGGATCTGAGAGCTGCGTGTATTAGGAACAGGTTGTACATATCTCTCTGAAAGTTGATTTGATTTTAAATTATTCACGTTGATTATATAAAAATATTTTACAAATAAAGACATTAGAAGTAAAGACGAAAAATAAGGCAAAATACTATGACATACGATCAAATACAGGCATTGCTATTTTTCTGTATTAATTATATTTTGTAATAAAATATAAAACATCTATGACATATTCTGTAAATGAACTTTATCGATATGGTATTCATTTTGTTGTTGTTGATGTTAAAATGCACGTGATTACAAAACTGTAAAGGTCTAATAGCGACTTGTGTGTTTTTGAACTGGTTGGGGAAGTTCTTAAGATACCTGCTCGAGTCCTCCTATACATTATTTCAGGCACACACGAACTCACCAGAGTACAACCACCGACCTACCGTAAACTGTAAGGACAGTTTCCAAACATGAACACACCAACAGTCTCTCACGGGATTCGGGCCCACATCGATCTGGAGTCTCTGAAATAAATCATCGACCATGGAGGCTTGTTTTAAATCTTTATCATTTAATTGGTATCTAAAACTTAATCACCTGCGCGTGACTTCCGCCAATTTTGATAATTTTGTATCTGTGTGGGTAGAGTAGGTCAACAGCCTTTCCAGGATCTCCCTCTTTATATGCTACAAAAGCCTCACATATAACTAGACCAACCTCACGGGTGATGCTAACCTGGTCACCTGTCCAGTTCCTGTTACAGAAATATTGCAATCATTCTAGAAAACATAAAATCAAAATATCTCTACTGCGCATACATGTATCTGCTTAGAATCTAGTTCCATGTCGATTTTATGTTATTTATACATGTATAATAAATATACCGGAACACTGCGAACCTTTTAATGTCATTCAGACAAAAAGGGTTGATCTAAAGTCACTGACATCCAGAGGGTAACATGAATAAAAAAATGAAATAAAATTTCAAGTAAACGGTAAATACTAATCGAGATAGGGTTAATGTGTAGATTCACTTATACATGCGTCTTAATTCAAGAAAAAATGTTGACAAAAGCGTAAATATATCGTGTTTCTTCCTTGTATAATCTACTGCGTTACTAACGCACTTAGCCAATATAAATAGGAGAAGATAATTAATTCAACATGGTCACGTGTCACTACAGTGGTTCGGAAAAATCTCCCGGTACGCCCGGGGTCATATATCAATGGGCCCTAATTATATTTCACGCTGAAGATTTAATCGATATATTGGTTATCAAGTGTAATTATGATATAGTTAATCAATTATAATTGCAGCGCCACTAATTATTACAAATATCAAAACCAAATCAGTTCATTCGTTCCCCTCTATGTTTGATACGATCCCGGATGCCGTTCGTTCCGGATCAAAGGTTGCGATATTGCCCTGTACCATCACGTGATACAAGAATCAAAACCCCGGTTGGAAGAATTCTGTAGTAAGATAAAGGAAGGTATATCCTGTTTGAGTAAAAAGCGAACGGTCTGTTTTCAGAGCAGAAATGTTAAAATATGAACATTTTGAAGTGTCATTTTGATTTTTTCAACAACATTGTATATAATGTTTTTGAATTTTGAAATATAAGTATATTAATATGTAAGACGGTAGTTTTTATGTTATCTTTTGGAGGCGTGCTGCTTTAAAACGAGCCTATGGTCACTCTGACCTAAATAACGCTTCGCGTCAGTCAGATTGGCAAAATTTAATGACGACCTCTGTAGACCAAGATTTGTATCGAATGACAACTAAAGTACCGGTTTTTTATCACATGAATTTCAGAAAATGTGTGAATCGGTTTACTATTTTTATATTCAAAAGTGTGTAAAACATTATTACGTTCATTATATAGACGTATCTACATTGGTTATATCATGATCATTTTTTGCCATTTATATAATATCCTAAAGAAATGCTTATTGAATTGGTATAATAATTATTTTTGATTTGTTTATAACTTATTCACACTTTATTTCTACTTAAGCACAACTGAACCCACAATATCCAATTCTTGATTGACGTCATCAAGTTATCCACTGCCGTCTTGTTCTCGGCTCCAAGACACGCCAAGAGGATGTGATTGTCATTGAATGTGAGCACGTGATCGTCCACGTGAGGTCGAATCACCTCGTAAATTTCCTGCCACCTTCCTTCCACATTTGCTCCTGAAAATAAAAACAAGAGGGCCATGATGGCCCTGAGGTCGCTCACCTGTATATAGGCCCCCCCCCCCAACTCCCACCCCCACCCCCAAACGTTGCAGGGCCAATTTAACCCAAGGGCTTTTATTTGCACAAACTTGGTAGACATTAACTAGAAGATGTTTCATGCTAAACATCTAAGCTCTAGCTTATTGGGCTTTTTAAAGAAGATTTTTTACACATATAGTTAAAAACAATGACACCCCTGGGGCCGGGCCAGTTTTGACCCCAGGGCTTTTATTTGAACAAAATTTGTAGACACTTACTAGAAGATGTTTCATGCTTAATATCTAAACTCTAGCTATTTGGGTTTTATCAAAGAAGATTTTAAGTTTTTGCTATACACATATAAAGAAAATCAATGACCCCCGGGCTATTTGGGTTTTATCAAAGAAGATTTTAAGTTTTTGCTATACACATATAAAGAAAATCAATGACCCCCGGGGCGGGGCCAATTTTAACCCCAGGGCTTTTATTTGAACAAACTTTGTAGACACTCACTAAAAGATGTTTCATGCTTAATATCTTAACTCTAGCTATTTGGGTTTTTTCAAAGAAGATTTTTTAAGTTTTTACTATACACATATAAGGAAAATCAATGACCCCCGGGACGGTGCCAATTTTGACCCCAGTTTGAACAAACTTGGTAGACACCTATTAGAACATGTTTGATGCTAAATATCTTAGCCATAGCTCTTTGAGTTCTTTAAAAGAAGATTTTTTAAGTTTTTACTATATGCATATAGGGAAAATCAATGACCCCCCGGGGCGGGGCCAATTTTGACCCCAGGGCTTTTATTTGAACAAACTTGGTAGACACTTATTAGAACATGTTTCATGCTAAATATCTTAGCTCTAACTCTTTTGGTTCTTTAAAAGAAGATTTTTTAAGTTTTTACTATATGCATATAGGGAAAATCAATGACCCCCTGGGGCGGGGCCAATTTTGACCCCAGGGCTTTTATTTGAACAAACTTGGTAGACACTTATTAGAACATGTTTCATGCTAAATATCTTAGCTCTAACTCTTTTGGTTCTTTAAAAGAAGATTTTTTAAGTTTTTACTATATGCATATAGGGAAAATCAATGACCCCCTGGGGCGGGGCCAATTTTGACCCCAGGGCTTTTATTTGAACAAACTTGGTAGACACCTATTAAAATGTTTGATGCTCAATATCTAAGCCATAGCTCTTTGAGTTCTTTAATAGAAGATTTTTAAAGTTTTTACTATATGCATATAGGGAAAATCAATGACCCCCTGGGCAGGGCTAATTTTGACCCCAGGGCTTTTATTTGAACAAACTTGGTAGACACTCACTAGAAGATGTTTCATGCTAAATATCTTAGCTCTAGCTCTTTCGGTTCTTTAAAAGAAGATAAAATTTAAGTTTTTACTATATGCATATAGGGAAAATCAAAGACCCCTGGGGCGGGGCCAATTTTAACCCCAGGGCTTTTATTTGAAAAAAAATTAGTAGACACTCATTAAACGATGTTTCATGCCAAATATCTAAGCTTTAGCTCTTAGGATTTTTTAAGGGAAGATATTTAAAGTTTTTTCTTTCGGTTGCCATGGCAACCAGAGTTCTGCATGGAATTAAATTCTTTGAAATTTTTTTAAAGGTTACAACCAAAGGAACATTCCTTTGAAGTTTGGATGGAATTGGCTTAGTGGTTTATGAGGAGATGTCATTTGAAGTAAAAGTTTACGGACGGACGACGGACGGACGGACGGACGGACGCCGGACGAAAAGCGATCACAAAAGCTCACCCTGTCACTTTGTGACAGGTGAGCTAAAAATAAAATAGAATAAAGCATTGTTTCAAAATATAAGTGAAATTATAAATACAAAAAAATAGACCGCATGGAATATAGCAATATAACAGTTGTATCCTCACCGGTTGCAACCGAACAAGCTCGCAGTGCGAGTTCATAGAGTTGGAATACAACTAGTTATACATGTCATAAAACAATCAGAAAACTTCCGGTGCCCCTCCGTGCATTTGTCAGTCACGAACGGGCGTCATAGCTCCAGAAACAACACGCTTCCGCAGGCTAGCTATAAATATTCATGCCTAGGTTTCAATGGGTTCAAGCATATGAATATAAAGTCATTATACATTCATGACATAACAAGTGAAATAATACATAGAAGCGATCCGGATGCCAATAAAAAATCCCAATAACCCGACCAAGAAGAGAATATGAGAAAAAGAATTTGAGACAATGTACTATCTTTTTTTCTGTGTTCCAAAAATAAGTAAATAACTTTGCTGTTGTCAGAAAAAAACATTTATTTCTCGTAAATAAATTGTTTTAAGATTAAAGTGTGTGACGTTATTCTGTGAACTGAATATTCTTAAAGTAGTTTTATGCGTGCATTGAAATAAAATGCATGGATCATTCACCCATACAATCACACGGAACACCTCGGAATGTTACGGAATAGCAAAAAAGCCGCGTTAGGAGTAAACTTCATTTGCTAGAAACATGAGTTCTGTTGGAGATATTAAACCTTTATAATTGCATAAAACTTTAAAGATCTTAATTAGCTAACATAAACATAACATAAAATGTCTGACATATAGAAAACTTTACCGTCCATTTCTAGACGCATCAACAAAGAACATGCGTCTACGAAGTCTAATGGGGCACCAGACGCTTTAACCGAGTCAAAACACTGAAACAAAAATTTAAACTTGATAGATCGTTCATGTTGACAATGAACATATCATTATTCCGTCTTACTAGCTCAAATATGTTTTTGTTTAATTACTGTATGTGGTGAAATTTATGCAAATGTAATCAATTTTGGTTATAACTGGGACACAAGTTTGAAATATTCGATTTACACCAGTCTATGACCGAACTGTAACCAAATGCTTGTTGCATGCACATTTAATATGTATAATTGATTGATGATGGTGTAGAATAAAACGAAAACGTTCTTAAATATTTTATATGTTTCCCATGCCGGCTTATTATTTGCCATGCAATTTTTTACCTTATCGCCAATATACATTATATCTAGCTATGTATTTTTCTCGCGCTAGTAGACCAAAAATAAACACCACAATACTTGACATATTGTCGCTTAATTTTATTTTTCATGTCTTCGACCTTCTGCTTTGTTGTCCTATGACCAAAGAAAATCAAAAAATAAATGACTAAAATTTCAAATAACCTGTATGTGTCACAAGGGCAACAACTCTGTAAGACTTACATGTTTATCATAGATACCAAGAGCACCGGAGTAGTCTTTCTTTTCTATCAGATGTAAGGCCCAGTGCCAGTAGTTATGACATGACAGCATCCCACATTGCTGTAAAAATGAAATGATTGTATAAAGTAACATAAATCGTAACTAGTCACTTTCCGTTTTGCATTATCTTCCTTTCGTTTTAGTCATTCAATAGTTTTGGGACGGTCCTTTACGTAATTTAAACAAATATTAATCTATGCAATTCTAATTTAGTTTTCATCAGTAATGGCTCACTGCAAGGAAAGTGTAAATGAATAGCTTACGTCGAAGGGCAAATGCAGACCACAGGGGGTCCAAAAGTTAAACTTGCGATATACATGTTTGATTTCAATATCCCATTCGTAACTGTTATCATTCGGAGACCAAAAGCAAGCCTAACCTGGGTCTTCATATTATAAGCTTGTTATATACCAAATTTGAATACAAAATCTCATTCCTAACTTTAGTTATTGTTCGGAAACCATTTTTCTATTTTCAGAAGAAGTGACCTGGCCCTGTACCCCAGGGAGTCCAAAAGCAACCCCATCTGGGGTTTCCACATAAGGTTGCTTTATACCAAGTTTAATGACAATAATTCATTCTAAATTCTAGTTTTCGTCCGCAAACCATGAACTGAACCAACCGACGGACGGGCCGACCGACAAGCTGACTCGAATGTACCCCCTAAACTTTGTTTGTGGGGCTATTATCACCAACCGTTCTTTGAAATTCACACCCTCTAAAAATATACATGGTCTGTCATACATATCAAACAAGTTTCAAACAAATAGCTTACATAGACATTACAAGCATTACTACTGACAGTTTGAGTTTAACCGTCATCCTGCTGGGACAGGAAGAGAAACAATAGAACCAGGGCAGGCGACCGAAATCTATGCTGATGATTGAGTGACTTGATATTCCTAAAATTGGTAATGGACTATTCCAAACACAGAAGCTAGACAAATACATATATGAATTTTCAACAACTCAGAAGTTCAGCGTTCACATAAAATTATCAAAAAATGTACGAAGAGAAATTAATCGTATGCATTTAGTTCTATATAAATAGAACTAGCTTTAACTTACAGTCCAATCATTTTCTGTTCCCGACATAAACTTTATACCCTCGTCTTGTCGTCCCATCATTTCTAGCACGTGCGCCATGCTGTGTGTCGACCATGCGTCACAACGGTTGATTTCAAGACCCTGGATTACAACAGAAATCGTATTTGAAAATACAATGTTAGATATATAGGAAGTAAAACTTCCAATGTTTCAAAACATGATTTGCTCATAAAGGTCTGAAGACTATAAAAATCGTTTTATTTCGATATTGAAACTCTAAAAACTTTGAATTGACTGTTAAAAATGCATGACAAATCCATTAAACAAATCCGGCAGATAATTAAAGGCTTCAATATATCCCATTATTACAAACACACATTATTTTTTACCTTGCTCGCTATCTTCTCTGCCTCAGAATAAAGATTCGTTTCCTCAAGACCGAACGAGTACATCCCATATAAATATCTGCAAAAGTAAAAAAGCTATTCAGATTCAAAAATCAAGTTTAAAGCAGCATTCATATCAATATCATGAAAATTTTGGAAATGTATTTAAATGAGAAAAACATTTGTGAGGTGAACAAATCAGGTAAACAAATACAGAAATTTACATATTGCAATATGCACTTACAATCCAAGAAAATTACTAAAAAGTGGTATACATATGCCAAAACAGCCCTTACTGCGTTAGTAACGCAATTTGAATACATGTATGGTGATAAAATAGTGCAAAATCAGTCTTAAACCGCACATAACATGTAAAATTTAACTGGATCTTGAATATTTTACCTTTCTTAAAATTTTAGTACATTTTTCTTAATATTGATTTTCTTGAAATAATTTTGCTCATCTTGAGGCGTGCAGCTTTAAAACACATTCAGAATTTGTTTCTGATAGATAGCAATACTCTAGTAAATAGTTTCGAAATAACAATTCTAGCATATACGGGTGTAACCTAGATACCATAGAGGTGTGGTGAAAATATTATATGCGGGCTTATACAGCAGTATAAAAAGTCTAATATTCGAAGCCATAAAATCTTATATTTGAAACCATAAAGAGGTGTGGTAACAATTAAATATACGAACCTATAAAGATGTGTTGTTAAAACCTAAATTTGCAAACCCATTAAGAGGTATAGTTAAATTTTGTAATTATACGAACCCATAAAGAGGTGTGGTTAATTTCGAATAAACAACCCATAAAGAGGTGTGTCTTAAAACCGAATATAAAAATAAAAACATAAAAAGGTGTGGTAAAATCTTTTGATTATACGAACCCATAAAGAGGCGTGGTTTCCTTCCAATGCTTGAACACCCGTGCGAGGGAATCTCTCATTGGTGCAGAGTAACCCAGATAAAAGTATGTATCGTGAGCAAATTTTAGCGCGAGCATGTCACGTGGGTTGTCCAACAAAATGTCTTCCCATACATTACATGCTTCTGACATTTCCCTAAAAAACACACACGAAAAACAGCGATTAATCAAATGAAACAGGCCAAAAGAAAAACCATTACAGCATGTTTATTGAACTGTCTGACGAACTTAACAACCGAACACTAAAACTTTACATTAAGACTTAGATTTTCAATGATAATGTATACCCCTTCAGAGCATTCTCACTCTTTTTATAGTAACATGTGATTTTCGGGCGATCAAATCGAACACGAAGAACGGAGACACAGCTTTTACATGATTCAAACACATTTTACAAAAACAAATTACTTTTCCTATACTGACGGGGCGTCAGTGGCCGAGTTGTTAAGGTCGTTGGCTTCAAACCACTAAGTCTTGCCCGTCACCTATGTGGGTTCGTATCCCGACAGGGACTTTGGATTCTTTCACGTGAGGAAGCTATCCAGCTAGCTTATGGGACATCGGTGGTTTTAAGCAGGCGCCCGTTCGTGCATGAAATAATGCAAGGAAGGGCACCTGAAGTCTTACTCTACCAGTAAAGCTGGAACGTCGCTTTATGATCTATACTGTGTCGGTGTGACATAAAACCCAATAACTTACTATTACTGACTTTTCCTAGTGTGATTAAGTATATATTATTAAGTTCTGTATAGCTATCTGCGTTTGGTCAAGCACCGTCCAAGGGATCCTTATACAACCTAAATACCCCGAAACCCCACGTAACACAAAAATGTCATTCAAAACAGATTTCATGTAAAATACACGTCATGTCAAAATATAACAATTGTGACGAAAAATATTTTAATTTGTTGTAAGTATCGGTTGAAATGTTTGTTGATATTTTTTTTCCTTCTTTTTTTTTGGTTAGAATTGTGTAATTTTATCATGAAATGTGTTTTAATGATAATTATGTTTTATTTGGGTTGCAGAGGACCTGTATAGGTTAGATGTGTTTTCCTGGGCGGTCCTTAGTCGCTCGCCGATAGTATGTGGCATGTGCTAATAATAAACAAGAAGATGCTTTTGTCAAGTTTTTCTTCCATCAAACGCAAAAATAGGCATATTTGAGAAGAACCTTTATGATAGATAAGCAATTTGTTCATTTTTAAATTACCCCTCAGACCAGAGTTTCACAGCGCTGACATGTTTCTTCTCCCCATCCGATAAGCCGGTCTGGTTCCCGGACAGTTTTATCATGGTATCTATATCGCTTGCGAGATTAGTATTGATCCGTACATTCGTACCGGTACCAAGAAGTTCCAGCCCATTCTTGATCACGTGACCCATCACTATGCATATAATTAACATTCTTTTTAAATAATACAATCATAAACAATGGAAAACAAGAATGGATGCTGTGATCTAAATGAAAGTATTGACTTAATAGGTGTGCATTTAACTTATCCATATTGCTGTATTGATATTGATATCAATATTATAAATCTGATAACAAATATTGATCTTCTGAACCAAAATTAACAAAACATGTACTTATATCAAAAAACCTGATACAAGTAATTATTAACATCCATGTTTATCACGATTGTTTCTCCAAAATAAATTACACATATTTAAATTGCGGGTGTCAAAATGCTCATGTTGTTCTTACATAGTAAAGCGCTGGTCAACAACACTAATATTTTCGATCTAGCAAAATTACTGTATATTAATATAACTTAATACGGTAGAAAATTTGCAAATTCAGTCGAAGGATAAAACTAAGTTTTAAGTTGTACCCATTGCTCGTAATAAACCGCTAAAATTACCAGTAGAAAACAATATATTACATACTCACCAAAGTTCGGATCAGCTTTAAGAGTGTTTTCCAAGGACTTTTCTATTCCATCCACTGATTTTTCATCATACCAACCCACATACTACAGAAACCAAGTAAAGTATTTTATACTTCATTCATACAAAATATATCTGTAACATCGATTTTAATTGAACAATCGTGACGTTTATATTGTATATCTGTTTATATAGACGGCTACTATTAATAGTTATTTTCATTAAAGAAAGTATCATGGTGCTATCGTGATAAGGATATCTGAAACATTACATATGACCTTCAGGTGTCTAAAGATGACCCGAGCAAACACTAATAAACAGCTTTAGCCAATACCTGTGTAAGACTGGCATCAAACAGCTTGCACGCCTCATTACTGGTAGTGTTCCACGGCGACCCTTCATCCTTCCAGGCCTGTAATAAAAGAAATTTAAATATTTGGCTTCTTATGACTGAATAATTCAAAGTTATATTATAAGCTATTGGTAGGGGCAGACTACTTATATCTATAAAGTCTTATACAGGTGATTAATGGTCGTGAAGGTGGTTCCCGGCCGACAAGTTCTATAACTTTCGTTAATGCCAATGCTGAAAAACAAAGATGTGAAATTACTGGTACATAAAGCCGTTTCTAAAAAGATCAGACAGTAATCAAGCAGTCTGACTAAACAATATACATGTAATATGATAACGGTATACACCAGTTTGCTACCAGAGGTTGTACCAGACTTACAACAGAACTGCAGTTTTGCTACAGGATGAACACGGATTTCTTGATACCGGATGCTACTGCAAATACAATGGACACACGATGGAGGTGCGTTGCGAAGAAAAAACGTAAATAACATTACATCCATCATCTTTTTTGCATTACTACCAATTTAGTGTTCTTTGAATTTTACACTGAGCATTCAACGAAATAGCCTGTTAGCCAGGCTGCAGGAAATATTAAAGCAAACCACGTACTACTGTCCCTAAACATTATAAAATGTTTTAAATCTTTGTGGTTTTAGGCATAACTAGTAGATGGTTTTATGTAACGAAATGCAGACGGATAAGATGTATACTAGCAGGAAGATAAACTTTCATCCACCAGCTTCAAAGTCGCCATAAAGAATCAGTGAAACCCAACCTATCAAGGTATGATTTATGCATACATGTACATTATTTCGTGTTAAAAATACCTGAAGTACCATTATGACAAACAAAGTCACATAAGTGGGGTAGATATAACTTGTTCTATATAATCATATCTTTAGCCGTTAATTTAGGGTAAACATCGATTTAAATTATTAGGAGACCTATTCTTGCAACAAATATCACTTCGAGTGCGTTTCCTTTCCAATACTGGTCTATGCTGACGTTGGGCGCCAAATGGCACAGCCTGACCGGGACTCGAACCAGGGATCCCCTCCCGGAATACGTTCCGCGGCTCTACTGACTGAGCTATCCGACCGCTTACACATCTTCCATACATAGTGAACAGTTTTAAACCATGACAAGAGGAAACATGGTCGTGACTATGCAGGTAGACTCGAATCAACGATGTCTGGTATGAGAGGCAGACACCCGGTCTGAACACACACAGTTTTTAGGCTTACAGCTCCAATGATATCCAAAGCAAAATGAGCAGACATTTTACATATAAAGGTATATATGTTACATTTGTTTGTCAAAATAATTGTAACTAAACTTGAAAGCCTCTATATTCGTTTTAAATATTGTTAACTTTATGAACTATATGTACTTTAATTTATAAACATTTGTTGATGTGTGCATTACAGTGACAATAAAAGAGTTGAACGATCATACATGCTCTAATAAAGGTACGAGCAAATTATTGTGTGGCATGTAAAGTAGTATATAATTAAATAAATGTACACTTGCAGAGTAATATGAAATACATGCCACCCTGTTCATTATTTTGCCCTCATTGATTTGTATGTAAAAATGGAGATGCATTAACTAATACTATATATATATATATACATATACATGTATTATAGATGTAGGCCTAAGGATAATTAGATTAATAAGTTTACCTTGCAGTCTCTCCAGTTAGAATGCATTATTCCACACACACGACAACTAGTTAACTTAAATTTAATCAACCGTCTGTTAAAAAGTACAGGTTGTTGACTTATTCGATGTTAATACAGTGTTTTGACCGGTGTATTTCATGCACTACTTGCTACGTTTCCACTCTGGTGAAAGTAGAACATTTAAAGTACAATTTAATCCGGGCGAGTTTATCTTGATAAAAATAAACGATAAACGTTTGTATCAGGAATATAGTTGACAGTAATCGATTAATATAGAAGAAGGTCTTTGGAAACTGGTGACCGTTGATGACCGGAGAAGGTCGAACATAAAACAATTATTTCTTTTTTAAGAAAATAATTAAATAGGCCTACCATTTTATGAATAATTCCGAGCAAAAAAAATAATAAAGTAAACACACAAGTATTTATGATGGCAGATGCCACTACGAATATTTTAATTTTGTAGATTTTCAGTTTATTGTTTGTAACATTTTGAGATACATATTAAAGAAACATTGATAATTTTCAAACACATCATTCAAGTTTTTCCACCTTAAACGGTAACATAATTATAGAAAATTAAAAATATCACGTAATAGTTTTTTGTTCATAATTATTATGTAGGTGTCTTATTCCCTAGAGGATTATCCGTAACGTACCGGCAAACGGTATTTATCCAGGTTTCCGAAAAGGTCAATTAACCAATCATGTACGGTTTACAGATCACATGCTCCCCCATGTACCGAAAACAGGTCACGTGCTCCTCCATGCCTCAAAAGTTAAACGCGTACCAATAATACAAGTAGAGATTTTGATGCTAAAGCATCAAGTCGCCGGATAGAAAAATGATTGTATTATCATAAATATAAGAAAATATAAGTTTAATGGTTCAAGTATAAAAATAAAAGGAACAATGAGTTGAATAATGTTTGCCACTGAGGCTTGTAAGGCAAGTGCTATGCTGGTAATTCTTCTTGTAATTATACTTTATTCATATACTGTTGTACCATACATTGAAATCCGTATAGGTTACTAGTTCAGATTCAGATAATTACCAACAAATAATTACCGATCATCGAATATTTGCAAAGTGACTATGAAAATATATATGTTTAATTACATTTTTGTATTACATGAAACAATACAGTTTTACTGTAAAAGTGTTGTACATCATTATTATGTGCTATAGAAAAAATATATAATTTAGTTGAAATCAATACACGTATTCCAATCGTTACATACGATATATAAAATTAACGTTTAATTGCCTTTCAGTGCGATAAACTATCAACACAAAGATGTTTCTATGTATCTAATACGATTCCGGACCCCTGACGTCATACCGTTTTGGAAACCTGCGTGACGGAAACCGACTGAATATACCGAAATCAACGATTACCATTATATATTTCAATAATATGCCTCTTAAGCATAACATTATTTTGGGATGTTCAACCTAAACTAAACAATTGAACTTTCTTGTCGAATGTTTGACAGAAAGGGCCAAGTTAAACCCTTTACCAAGAAGAAAGGAAAAGGTTTTGAAAATGTATTTTTAATGTTAACAGGTTTCTCTTATGATATAAAGTATGAACCTGATTAATGAAAAATAACTTATGTAATTATCTGTACAAAATTACAATGATTTACATCTTATCAGTTACCACCATTAACACTTTACCTGTCTTATCAGCAATCTGTAACTATTAATAGATTTTATAACGATATACAACATATATAAACATGTAGTCACGTGATTCTTACGAAAGACCAGGGAGCATTTGTTTATAATTAGATAAAATAATGTAATATAAAAGGTCTCATAAAAAATAAACAACCAAATAATTCTAAAGTGTCATTTCAAATATCATTTATGATTTATTTATTATAAAATAGCAATGCTTGACACATAGAAAAAAGTAAAAATATCTCTAATATTCAAGGACTGATCCTTGGGGATACGTAATTGATTCATTTTATGAAAATTGTAATGTTGCTTTTTAAGACGTCAATGCATGTGCATATTTCATTCCACTGAGCAAAGTTATCATATGTTTGATTTTTTGTGATTACTGAAAAATAATTGTTGTTTTAAATTGTTCAATGATTGATATGCTTTTATTTTCAGATTTTAAGGGCTTCTCCTACCATAGGTATAATATTAAACTATTACAAATATAGTCGCCGGTTTCTACCGGCGACTAATAATAACTTATGTTTCTCAGATTGTTCAGAGCATGGCCCTGACGCCAAACTATGCATCAAGGGTTTTCCTAGTATATGATAAAATCTTCCAAAACCTCTACATTTGAACACTTAAGGCTAAAGTTTAGATATTTGCCATACATCATCTATAGACAACCCTTACAAGGTTGCTGAAATCATGGCCTTCTGATCATCATCGAGTTGCCCAGTGGTAGGGGTTATAGGTTTTCCTGATAATCATAATGATTGTAAAAATACAAACGCAGGTGCTAGAGGTTAAATGTCTGGCATGAAACATCATCTTACGGATCTCTACCAAGAATGTACAAATAATTACCCGGGGTTGACTGGCCCTGTCCCAGGGTCATGGGTTTTCCTTGTGTCATAGTTCTTAGAGCAACGTCGTAAATATCATGAATGATATTATAATTGAAAAGTCACTTTCCATAGATTATTACTAATTTAGTTCTAAGCAGCCGTATACAGGCCCTAGTTAATTTCTTTTAATTTGATATACTAATAATATATTGGTTAATTTACTTACCATGGTGTTAGTTTCGGGTATAGATGTTCACAAATCTGCGTCATAATGCACAATTCCTGCGTTATATTCACAGTCCTGGGTTTCTGGATATACCGGGAGGATACAGGAAATAACCTTTTATGCCCCCCCCCCCACATTTCGAAGAAGAGGGGAAGAGGGGGTATATTTTGCTAATTTCGGTCGCTCGGTCTGTCTGTCTGTCCGTCGGTAGACCACATGGTCCCCGCTGATTATCTTAAAAACTATTTATCACAAAGTCTTCATATTTCACATATTGATTGCTCATAACTAGTTACTGACCTCTATTGATTGAAGGATTACTAGGTCAAAGGTCAAGGTCACAGGGACCTTAAATATCAAAATAATTTCTGTTTATTATCTTGAAAATCCTTTATCACAAAGTCTTCATATTTCACATGTTGATTAGTCATATGTAGTAGATGACCCTATTGATTTTGGGGTCACTAGTATAAAGGTTAAGGTCAAAGGGGCCTTAAATTTCAGAATGGTTTCCGCTAATTATCTTGAAAACTGTTTGTCACAAAGTCTGAAGTTTGAAAAAGTTTGAAAAGTCTTTATATTTCACATATTGATAGGTCATAACTAGTAGATGACCCCTATCAATTTTGGGGTCTTTAGGTCAAAGGTCACGGTCAGAGGGACCTTAAATCTCAGAATGATTTCGTCTCATTATCTTCAAAACTACTTTTATCAAATTTTTGTGTTTCACATTTTATTTGATCATTTATAGTTGATGACACCCTGAGGTCACTAGGTCAATGGTCAAGGTCACAATAACCTTTAATGTTAAAATGTCCACAGAAGATGCTCACAATTACATTTATATGATAATATATATTTTATTTCAGCTACCCTCCAACTTAGCTTATGATAGCAGCTTCTGATAGCTTTCATTCAGTTTCAGGTCATATATTGGCCATTATTTTTATTTTTCCATAACTGAACACTTCCATGTACCCATTTATGACATGTCTATAACAAAATTACCAATAGTATGAGTCAAGGGCGAGAAAGGGGGTATATATGTCGTTCGATATTTCTTGTTCTTATTTTTTATTGAATGAAATTCCTATCGAAGCACGTTCGTGAAAATTACTTACATTTATTAGCTTCAAATAAAGCTTTTGTCAAGCTGGATCCATCACCTGTTTATTCTATGTAAGGGGAAATTAATCCTTATGCAGATGTTAGATTATATACATTTTAACTACATGTATTCTCTTACGGTAGCTTAAATTTGCCTTGTTCAGCTCAAGAAATATCAAGTAGATCCAAAATAAAAGAACATTCTGTGTTTCTTTATCGTGTGAAACATGTACTAAAGTTTCATAAATCTGAATAAAAACCTCAAAACCGATTTCTAGCTGTGTATAGCTCAAGACGAACGGATGCGTAGACGGACGCAAATACAGATCTTTGAGGACAAACCAACTCTTTGGAAGGGGGGTAACTGTTTACGCTATGCAGCATTTATTTCTAATCTGTTACAATGATTGTTCATATAAATTGAACCAGACCATTTCCCCTGAATTTTTATGAATGAAAAAGAAAGTGTATGAAATTTCTCGTTCTATATTCCTTCAATTAACTATTCTAAATAGATTGACCTTGATTGCATGTAAAAATATCAAATTTCTAAGATTGACGTCGAATTTTAACAGCGGATTTAACTGATTCGTATCAAAGCAATGTCAATCGGTCTGCGGTTTTATTTTTGTACATGAAAAGCAAATTTAGACACGAGTACTTGCCGCTAGTTGAGTATGATATTTGAAACAAAATCATAGTAAGTTTAAAAGGTTTAACTAAAGGGCAAATTCACTGAGATATTTTGTGTTGGAAAGAAACAAAACGGTCTTGAAAGATAAAATCAAAGTGAAAAGGATCTAACAATTGTCAAGCGGGTTTTCAATGGGCACAATTACGTCAAAATAACTAAAAGAAACTAAAATTCCAAGTAAGGAAAGACATTTAAATAAAAAATATTTGATTCAATTACAAATGGATTAGTGAATATGTCATCCAGTATTTTGTTGATATAAATAGAAATGAAACGCTAGCTTCAGCACGTGCTGTACATCTGATTAAATGGCGCGAGTTAGACGGAACTTGAACTCGTCAAAATCTAAGAAATCACAGTATTCATATGGAGCCGAGACAGACATTGGCATTCAAGATGTATATGACCGACCTTTCCAGTGTCCAACCCATTCTACATGCAATGTGAACCTGTACTGCTGTTTCTGTGAGAAGCCTGTCTGTGAAAAATGCAAAACCACTGCGCATGCGCGTCACAGCACCGAAATTAAAGGGCGAAATGCGTTGATTCGCGCGGCAAAATACAAACGGAAAATCATTCAGAAAATGTTGGACACTCGAAAAAGCTTAGTTATTCCCAGAATCAAGGCAATAATAATAGAAATATGTGAGAGCAAAACTAGGTTACACGACCGTGTGGAGAATGCGAGGAGACGCTACGAGAGTTATGCCAGTAAACACAGGGACAAACTCTTCACATCGGAGGAAGAGTTTGAAGGCGGACTCATTGCCAGGTCAAAAAGATATTATGACACAATGGACGAGAAATTGTCATTTCTAAAGGAGCAACTGTTTGATGTTGAGACGGGTCTTCATCTTATTCAAGGTCAGCTGGATTCAGCTTGTCACGCGGAACTTCTGCTGATTTTTAATTCACTACGCACAAGTGTCGAGACGTTGCACGAGCCAAAATGGCCGCGTGAAGAAATACTAGTAACGATAAAACTTGAAACAGTTCCGGTATTTGGTGCTGTGCAGTTGCATACAGAAAATCTTTACGATAAAAACTGTACCGTGTCCTTTGATCACGAAATAATTGAACCAGTAATATATTCTAGAATGTTTGACACCAGGTTAGCCATTCCGAAAAAAGCATTTGATGACGAGCTTGCAAAAGTGTCTTTGTCGTCTGCTTCACAACTGTACGCCTCATTTGGTGAATACATTCTCGTTTATACTCTAGACAGCAGACGAAACAATAAAGGACGCTGTAATATTCATTTTACCACCATTATGACCGTTAGGGACAACATTATTGATATTTCAAATGATCAATATGGCCTTCTGTTTTACTTAACTCAGAAATCGGTTAATTCTGTTACAATGCATGGGAAATTTTTGAAATGTTTCTCTGTCACTGAGACACCGAGTGCCATTTGCGTAACCAAGGACGGTAACTCTGATATATATGTCGCTTTTCATGACGCCGGAAAGATAATGAAATATGACAGGCACGGTTCAATTTTGATGGAACTTATTCATCCTGATCCAAAGATGGTTTACCGAGCAAGGCATTTGACCTTGAACTATATTGGGGACATTTTCTTCTCAGACGATATCTCAAATGTCACTATCTTAGATAGTAATGGTATTTGGAAAGGGGCTATAAATCGTGACGTCACGACCTCGTCAAAATGTGGACCTTTTCGTCCGACTGGAATCGCGTGTTCAAATCAACGTCACGTCTTTATCCTTGACGGCAATGTAACACCAAATGTGCACATTTTCAGTGAAGAAGGAAAATACTTACAAACTGCAGTGTTTAAGAACCTTAAAGACGCGTACGTTTTGAATATCGATCGGTCAGGTGACCTTTGGGTAGCCTTTAAAGATGGTCGTCTGCGTGTTTATAGACCTAATCTTATGAAGGATTTGAACAAACCTATCAGCTAGTATGATGGCAGTCTCTGTTGGAACAAAATAGTTGCCACTGGAGGCAGAAGTTAATCATAGTTAAATCAATACAATACAAATACAATTAAAAGAGTATACACTATCAATTACCACAAGAAACATTTATGATATATGTAACAAAAACTTACAATTAAAGTTATTAAGAAGTTCACATTTATATGTACCTCCGAATAAAACACAAATAAAGCTCATCTCAACTGTTATTTAGTTAATAATTATTTTATTGAATCTCAGAAAACAGTACAACATTGGAAAGAAAAATGATTAATAGGAAAATAGGTTATAGTATCAATAATTAAATTTTATTTTTCAATTATTTGTTCGTCTATAAACTGACAGGAAATAAAATTTTAAGAAAATATTTTTGTTGTACATTGTTTATATTCCTATTTGAATGAACACACCAAAAAGATAACTGTTTCACATTGTACTGTAAGGAAACTAAAATTTATTGATACAACATATTCCCAACTCAAATGGAACTTTCTACATGTAATGCAAAAACTCGACGACTAAAGTTACATTTTTTAACATATTTCTAATCTGATTTTGTCCAGCTTACAATTTTGGGACTGACCATTTTAAATTTTGGCGGTACTAGAGCTACGGCTGCACAGATTTACATGTCTTCCTAGCTCGTTTTACTGTCAGGTAAGGGAAGTATACTTTTCGGCCCTTTCCGTCAAACGTCGGATCGATAGGCGTGACAGAAGCATTTTGTGACGTATGGTATTTACTGTTAGTCGTATAATGGCTAGTAACTTTTTTTTAAATGCTGTAAACTTATTGTTTATTTCAGGTCATATTTACAAAGTAAACATGATTGTAATTTTTTGTTGAAATGAAAAACTTCATTTCATATGAAATTTCGATATAATAAAATTAGCATCTCTGAAAGTAGGCTGCTTAAATAATTGACATTCTCTCAAACGTAAATGTATAAAGAAGAACCTGTACATGTGTAAAATTTCAAACCCTAAAGTGAACAGAATCACGCTATATATGTAAACATGCATAGATACCCTAAACAAATAACTTTGAACAATATAAACTAATAAGCTATGTCATTCCATGTGCGTCAAAGGCTTTGACAAAATCGTCTTTAAATTGCTTTAACTTGTCAGCAACATCCCCAGGAAAGACATCTGTAATAAGCGACAACGTTTTATCCCAATGATTGCCCGTGAGAGGGTCGAGGTACACATGCGCGTCCACGTGCGACTTGAAGTTCGTCCACGAGCCACTGAACGCCCGGTCAACTCTATCTCTGAACGTTTGCCGACGTAATTTGTTTTGTTTTATGTTTGTCATGTGGAGTTGAATAGAGACTACACGCTGGTCAAGATACCAATTTTCATTGACGCCTTTCGCCACGTTTTTCGTAGTTACGTTTCTTCCATAGTATTTAAGTAGCCAGGAATTGACATAGACAAAATATGGTTGATTTTCTGGTAGAGGTGTTAGATTCATCACTTGTATCCAATTTTGTGCGCTCATTCCGATTGACGTCATTGGCTGCATTCTTACCGTTTTGTCTTTCCAACGAAAAGAACCACAGCAATCCGCATTCAAAATGAAAATTTCGTTTCCACGAACTTTATCGTAAAACTCGCCTTTTAACGGTACGATGTCTATATCTGACGTCATAACAATGTCGTCAGGATTTAACCAATCGGCGAATGCGACCACGAACGATCTCGACACTTGGGCATACGATACTGGATTGTGTGTAACGGGCATCATAATAAAACGCGCGGTATTGTCTATATCAAGAGTCGTCTGCTTCACTATATTAAGAATAGAAGAATTTTTCCATTGTTCAATTTCTCCAGTAATAATTATCATCGTATGCCAGCCAATGCGTTTCCAGGCAGCTACTGTTAATGGAAGGCAAAATATATAACCTTTTGACATTTTTGGCGTCACTGCAATAGAAATAACTGCCCATCGCCACGGCGATGATGGCGTAAAGGTGCCGTTTGTCGTCTGCTTTTTCAAAGTAAATGGCATATAGACTAGAGTCGAATTTTTAGTTTGCGAAGTCTTTTCTTCAAGAACAAGAGGATCTTTTGTTAGGTTTATTCGAGGTAAGGTGAAACTTCTGCCTGAGCTGAGATAAAACATTCCACCAGCTAAAATCGTAAGAATTCCCACTACTTTTAATATCCTTTTACCCTCCATTTCTTTTCTTATGCAGATAAAATCTATTATTTAACAAAACAACATGAATGTTTTCGCTTCCCCTTTCGTCATTGTTTTCCACTCCTAAACTGCCACCACTCGTTTTTAATTAAAATCCAAAAGTCCTGAAACACAAGTTAATCACATATTATTTTACAATAGGTCTACAGGTGCGTACATGATTTTTTAACAATAAAATCTTTCAATATTTCTATTTTTGGACTAACTATATCTATTCTATAGGCTTTATTTCTACCCATACAATTCAACCTTTACTATACGAGTTATCAGCTATATCAACGCATAGCCCGCATTAAAAAATGAATAGGAAGAGGGCTCGAATTACAAACGCTATATAAATGATTGTGCGTTCAGAAGTGGATCACCGATTTATAGTTATATAAATTGAAACGTATTGATCTAATACAAATATTTAAAACAGAATTAAGCACTCATTCAGGGGTTTTTTTTTCATGAAAATTAAATAGATTTACATGTTTGTAATTTTGAAAATGAGAAATAAGTACTGCATGGCATAGAACATTTGTTGTATAAGACTTAGTATTGTTTACGGCGTTTATTTATAATGTTGTAAATACTGTTCTGCCATAAATGGGTTACTGATACCAGAGATGTAGTTCTGGCTTCCATAACTTTATATGTCGCTTTTATTTTGACGTTGCGACAGTAAAGCAGAACTATAAAACCTGTTCGCTGAAGTATCTTTAGCTACCAGAGATGTAGATGACATGTAGATTCTATGTATTCGCTGATACCTAGGTCGTAATAACAAATTTGACATTTTAAACAAGTAACATGCTACCCAACAGGTACAGTCTTTGTTGAAAAGCTCTGATGTCACCCCGTCAAAAAAGTTAACATTTGTGCCAAGTGATATATCAAAATCATGCAATGCACGAAAGTGTTTTACTCCGACAAGGTTTCTCTCCTGACCTCCAAGTCTGACCTTGATCTCTGACTTTTGAGACCATGGTGTTTGCGCTCGATACTATGTCCTACAATGGTGATTCTAGAATGCATATAAAAAGATTTATATCAAACAAAACTAGGTAACTGCTGTCTGTTGTTTTGTTCACAAACATTCATATCATCACACTCATGTCTCGATAATGTACAGATTTGGTTGCTTTTTTATTACATCAAGACATACGTTATGTCTTTTGTAACTTTCAATCTTGGAAAAAGATTTATATACTTACTGGTACCCTAGATATTCTGCAGCCTGATTATCTAAATAAGCTAACGTTACAGAACGTAATGTCTCCTCATTTGTTCCTGATATAAAGTAAAACAAGTATATGCTTAGTTATTTCTGTATTTCATCATACAATTCATTACTGCAATCGTATAATAGTTTGCAGTTTTTGGAATGTTATATATATACATAATTTTAAGAAAAATGATACAATATAGGTATGTAGATAGAGTAAAAATGATTTCATGTTTGATATGTATATGATAAATGACATATTGCCCTGTAAGTAAAAAAAACAACAACATTATATACAAAAAAATATACAGGATTAGAAATGTACAAAATCTACATTACAAAAATACAGAACTGATTCACAATTGCTTTCATTGAGAAATCATTTTTCTGACACATTCATTGAATTCAGTCAAACTAGTTTTTGGAATTGTTTTGCCTCTGTGACTCATCATAGCATGTCCTTTTCCCAAATCAAATACTGAAATTCCTGTATATTAATATCCGTTGGGAAAAAAGAAAGATAAGCTATCTTGCAAGATTATCCCACAAAGACAGTTACTTCCCCTTTTCCCAAAATCAAAACAGTAGTAGCTTGTACAATGTATTTGGGAATTGGAAAGATTAACCATCTATAAGATGGATGTTTTTCCTTTCCTAAACCAAATATAGACTCAGTGTTAGAAATATATACATGTATAACAAAAGTATGAATTATCTTTTGACCTAGAGCATGTAGAGAGTGAGACCAAAAAACCAGTATTTGAATTAAGGGAAAAACCTCAGTACATTTTTTTGAGGAATGGTCTCTAATAAAGAGCTGATTTAACATAATAAAATCAGTTCAAATAACTCAAATGGTAAACTAAAATGATAACCTTTATATTACTGGTTCTCTATAAGGCATTATAATCCAGAGACACTTTTGTGTTTCAATGAAAACGTCTAAACTTAAGACTCCTAAATTATGACTCTTTTAATTTCTGAATAGCAATAGATATGAGCAATAACATATTGTGAATAAAAAGGTCTGTCATTGTATTTCTTAACTTTTCTCAGGAAAATGAATTTAATTACAGTCTACAGTCGGTGACTTAAGGTAAAAACATTTATCAAAGTGGTCATAAGTTAGTCCTGAAGTTGGATTTATATCCTTGGACTTAGGATACACTATAGACCTTACATGAAACGCAGCCCTTTTAGTGTGGTCTTTAAAGCAAGTTTGTCTATCATTAATTTATTATAATGTCTTCATTTAAATCCGTAAAAATAGTTCCACTGTTATTCAAATAATACAAATTACATGTAAATACTGTACAAAAAATGATTCATTATGTCTGTACAATTTTAATATGAAATAATCAATTTCAATTTTAATACACAGATAAATGTCACACTCTCCTAACCACTCTCAAAAAATCATCACAATGAATTATTATGCATTATTATCAACTTAAACCTAACTCCTCAGTTTAAAATAATTTAAAATCTGTAAAAGTTAACATGCATGGTTATGTGATATATGGTGATAAATTCTGCAAAATTTGTCATTAATTGTATATTATACGATAATTAATTCTTGAACTGTGAATATTTTCATTTTTCTTAAAATCTTACTACATTTATTTCAAAGTTTTTTTTTTCTTGAAATATTTTGGCTCATCTGGAGACATGAAGCTTTAAATACAAATATACCTGGTACAGATGACACTGTATTTAAATATGTGGCAGATGTTTTGTCATCAAAGTATTGTACATGCTTGTTTTTATAAACTTTACAAATACATGTGTACAAAAAATATACTTTCTAATTTTCTTGTTAATGTTTGTACATGACCTCTGAAAATTAAATTCAGGATTCAAGCTACATGTAGTCTCAAATGGGTAATAAAATGGTCTTCTCCCTTCTAACAAAAATTAAGTGATGTTTTCACGGAAATATGGGTTTTAAATTGTATAAATTTTTAAATTTTGAATCAATATTGAAATGGCTGTATGTTGGGAATCATGGATGATATTGATATCACAATTTTTAATTACAGCCTTACATATTAATTTACATGTGAATAAAGTTAAGTAACAAACTGTATGGCACACCAGCATTATAACATGTATAACAGACTGTGTTCAATGTTAGTTTCATTGTCTTACAGTCTACCTTAAGGTTTTAAGTAAAATATGTTATTGTTTGAAAAATATGTTAAGGCTTTTAGCTAATCACGAAGAAAGCATTTCAACAGAGATTTAACTTGTGACATAGGCACACCTGTAGGTGTTTAAAACATTTTATTTCTTAATCTTATTCAAGTGTCTAACTTTGACTTAGAAATTTTCAAATTTAGCTATTCTGAATGGGCAAGTAAAATAATGCAAAGACTAAAGTACAAAAAAAAAATTTGTGGTGTTATGCCAGCATAAAAAAAATAGTTTCAAAAAAAAAAAATTATTCATCTTTGCCAGTACATACCCCCCCCCCCCATTGTACATCCCTCATCTTCGACCATATGCAATACATTAATAGCATTCTTTTATATCAGAATGTAAATAATATATTTAATAAATATAAAACTCACCATCCAAGAAGTTTAACAATAAAGTATTCCTATTCTTGCAGTTTGAAGGGATTTTACGCCTATTAAATTGATTTGAATAAAACATTATGATTAAAAGTAACAGAGAGACATTATAGGGTATAAAATAAACCTGTCACTTCACAGCTTGTAACACACCATCTGTTGCATTCATTAAAGGGATGAAAATGTTTCAAAATGTCAATATAACAACATGCAGTAACTACAAAAACCTCAACAACATGGACTTAAAGAAAAAAACTAACAAACCGCAAGAAAAAAGTTAAGGACAAGTTTTATAACTTATGAAAATTTACTTGTCAGACGAAAAAAAAATAAAATTATAAAACAAAACAAATATAGAAAAAAAAATGAAACCTTAAAAAAACATGTTTGAATATTCAAACAAAATATCTAAAATCATGAACATTTTTGTAAGTTTTACTTTTTATTATATACTTTTAAATGAAATATTGAGAAATATTGATGAAATAAAATGCGTATTTTCATTTTCCGTATTTTCACTGTAAAAATTTATTTTTTCACTGCAGTGAAACATATTTTCCGTATTTTCACTGGTGTCTTGCCGGACTACTTTCTTTTAAATTCTGCCAGTGCTCAAAATTTAAGGCAACGTCTTTCAAATTTTTATGTCCAGAAAGAGAAAAATGCATATAATAAACAGAAAATTCAAGTTTTTTATATAAATACATGATTTATTTTCATCGAGTGGTATGAAAATAAATATTTCATGAGTGGCAGTAGCCACGAGTGAAATACACTACCCTCCATAATTAAGTATACACTTATGAATAATATGCTTTTTGTCAAATTTTGGGCTAATAGCTAACATTATTTCAATTGTTTTGTCTTCATTCTGTAATGCAAGTAATCTTTATTAAAAGGGAGAGAATAAAAACACACCGTTCCACCGTTTTCAGACAAATTATGCGTTGATTTAAATTTGAGGCAATTCTTTTCAATTCACCAAGTTTTTTTAAAGTGAGATTTGTCAAAAAAATTCAATCCAAATCATACAATCAACATGATCAATGCGTGAAATGACAATAGTATAACATTTTTGGACAAAAATCATCAATAAAACACAACAATAAAATGGTTCGTTTGACAGAAGAACAGCGGGTAGAATGTCTGGTCCGTCACCAACATGGAGAGAGCGTCACTGCCATCGCAAGAGTCCTTGGAGTTTTCAGGTAAGCGTCTTTTCTTAAATTTTAACTCTTTATATGACTTTACCAATTAAAATGTATGTCTTGACCAAATTTTATAGAAATGGACCTGATATTTGTCTTAATATTTCTTACAGGAAGACAGTTTACAAGACATTGGAGCGCAAGGAAGAGACAGGACGACTGGCCGAAAGACCTCGTTCAGGGCACCCTAGACTTTCATATATGAGAGATGATAGAGCCATCATTAGACTCAGTCTCAGAGATCGTCGGGAGACTGTGCCTTTCCTCAGATATTCATGGGAGAACTAAGGAGTCTCATCGAGCCTCACCACAGAAAGGCGTAGATTACAGGATGCTGGTTTACATGGACGGAAGGCAGTCAGGAAGCCTCTGTTGACCCCAGTTCACTGCCAGAAGCGCATTGCCTTTGCTCAGGAGCATGTTGATTGGACTTGGGTTGACTGGAGTGCTGTTCTTTGGACAGATGAGTCCAGATTCACTCTGTTCCAAAATGATGGAAATGTGTTTGTCCAGGGCGAGGTTTTGAAAGGCTTCACAATGACTGTGTTGTGCCAACAGTGAAGTTTGGGGGTGGTGGAGTGACTGTGTGGGGTGCAATGTCATACAGAGGCCCAGGTTTTCTCCATACTATTCACGGTAACTTGAATGCACATGGATACATTGACATTTTGAGCAATGTTGCAATCCCCTCTGCCCACTACCTTGGATATGGCGACTCCTACTTCTTCCAAGATGATGGGGCTCCATGTCACAGGGCCAGAATAGTCAATGTCTGGAAGCAGGAGCATGACCACAAAGCCCTGACTTTAATCCATTTGAAAATCTGTGGTATGATTTAAAATGCAGTGTTCACGACTACAGGACAAGAAATCTAACCGAGTTGGAAGCCAATTTAAGGGATGCTTGGGACAGAATACCTGTAGAGAGGTGTCAAAGACTTATAAGAAGCATGCCAGAGAGAATGATGGCTGTTATTGCTTCCAAAGGAGGCTATACACGTTATTGAAAATGAATTATTGGCAATGCTGCTTCATGTCGTGAATTGGTATTTTGCATACAGACTTTTAAAAAAGTTCTTAATGTTCTTTAATGACCAAGTTCTTGTTATGCAGACTTTTATTTGTCAATGAATAACAAACAAATTTGATATTAAATGAATTAAATGCCAAATAAAGTATTTGTTTAAGTTTAAGAGCTGTTTTTTGACTTTTTTATGAAATATCACACTGTATACTTACTTATGGAGGGTAGTGTATATGGTAATTTTCATCCTCTATTTATGCTTATATACATTTTGGTCATATCTTGGCTTTCATGGATAACTTAACCATTAAAATTTCTCAGCAAGGGACCCGGGACCCACTACTAATCCATCACATTTAATGAATTAGTGGTTAGAATATAATAATCTTTATTAAAGTCTTATCCATATATAACAACACGTATTTAATTGTTCAATGACATAATTTTACATAGTGCACAGCCATTCTATTCTGAATTACAAGAGACAGTGGAAGAGAGACAACTCCCAAATTCATATTGTAAGTATCATAGTGGAAGGGAGACAACTCCCAATTTTTACATACTGCAAGGATTTCCAAAAGCATTGCTGAGTTGGGAATAAATAAAAAGTCCCTCCCTTCCAAATTAGCTGGGAAAACCCAAAATATTCTAAAATCTTGAGAAAGTCTATTGCCACAACAGAAAATTTTGCCAAAGAAAATGTTGTGAACCAAGAGTATAAATAAGCATTGGGACTATTTCATATTTTTCAAAAAAGAAAAAGAAAAAAAGTTTTTATATTGTGTTCAGTCCTCTATTTATACATAACATATATTGTTCACTGTTAAAGAATGGGTCTTAACTAAATTTTATAGAACAATAGTTCTTATAACTAAATAGCCCCCAACCCAACAGTAATTCTGTTATTGGCACAACATACCTTGCCTCAAGGTTACAAAATTTATCTTTTTTAATACAGTCTTAAATCTCTGGATTTTCATTGTGTACATTCTGCGCTACTTTCTGGTAAATCAAATTCTGTGTATTTTGAGTTTCAGCATAGAGAATTTCTTTATAACCTCTGACCCAGGTTTACATTACTGTATTTTCATATATTTCATAAACATTTAAGACCCAAAAATAAGTCATAGGTTTATTATAACCCTCTGAATTTAATAAAAGGAAAAAAGATATCTTATAATTATAAACAAGTAAAAACAAGGTCACATATTTATGATTTAACATTATATAAATATCTTAAAATAGCTAAAAGCTTTGGTCTGTAAAAAATAAGTAAAGCCTTATTTAAAAAAATATATACAAATTTCATAAACTCTTGTGTAAATAAATTTAGAAAATAGAGTTTAATTCTATTTTGTAAATCCATTTTATGCATGCTGATTTCCCAACAAGGTATCAAAATTTAATGATGTCACACATTTGCATGAAATAGTTAATATGAAACATAGAGCAATACACCTTTATAATATATGACAGTAAAATTAATGTAAATTTAAGTTTTATACAATTAACTTATATGATAAAAAACAACACAAAAAATACATATACATGTATACAGGTTTGAGCTAAAATAAAACGATGGTGGAAAAAAAGCAAAATAAAAACAATCAACCAATTTGGACAGCATGCACCAATTTTTCATTCAAAACCACAATTCCTAAGAATCATAGAATATAGACATCAAAAACAACCATCCAATATCACCAAATCTAGAAATAACTCGCTCAGACAATTTTGTAGGATTTGGAAAAAAATACAAGATACAAAGGGAAGACAACTTTTGTTGGACATTTACAATTATTTCAACATGCTCTGCATAGCAGAGAAATGTACACTGTATACACAAACCTGATAAAGTCATGATCATATCGGATACATTACCATACCACTGTATTATTATTTCTGTTCAAATAACACTCATGAAAACATGTCTGTTCATGAATTTCTTTACTATAAATACAGTAGAATGCTAATGTACTTCTCTGACAATTTTAATAATTGTTACACTTACAAAAAAGTTTTCTCATCAAATCTATCTATGAACCGACAAGCCAGGAAACGTAATGTCAAGGTCAGCTTGAAAGTTCAGTTCTGACCCCTATTAAAACATTTTCCCTATCAGAACTTAATATTTCTCATATATGTTCCATTGATTTACAAGCAAGTTATGTTTCCAGAATATGTAATTTGTTAAAAATAGCACTATACCATTGGATCAAATCCTGAAAAAATTAAATTCTTTAATGTGAGAAAGTTATCCAGATAGCTTAAACAGGTTTGGAGGTTCTACATAGGTGCTTACTCATGCTTACTAAAACTGGAAAATGCCATATAATCTTTAAGTGTTGGAGTGATATAAAACACAATCAATAATAATTATTTCTTAAAAATGTGACTTTGATAATACACATCAAAGTAACTTGAGCAAACAAGGTCAATGGTTCATTAAACTATGTACAATCAATTAAATAATGTCATATTTGATTATGTAATATAATGAATAAAAATTTTACAAGATGTGCATCACAAAAAGTGCCATATTCGAATGGACACCATGCCCATAGGGGTGACCTAGACCTATGGCAATAGTGGTGAACTTGACCTTTGACTTCTAAGTGGATCTTGCAGGTAGAGCTCAACAAGATGCATGCTTGTGTGAAGTCTGGAAGGACTTTTGTGTTACGTCCCATTTTTTACAGACAGACCAAAAGCAAAATGCGCTCCTGATCCAGGAGAACAGGTTAACATAGGTATATGAACAGGGTATGAAAATGTGACATTGTTTCATCCATACAAGGAATAATGTAAAGTCTGTCCTTCACATGCCATAATTAATGAATGCAAGAATTATAAGTAAAACAATGAATCATATTACACTTTGTGTCATACATTTTACAGATAGAAATATTTAACTATATACATACAGTTTCAATCAACTTTGATTTAAAAAAAAAATATTTACAGTATATATATTCCCTGTCAGTTAAACATATATATAAAGAGAATAATAATTATTTACATTATGGAATGTACAGGTATTATAAACAAGAACTGTCGGAGGACAGTAACACTCAACTATTCGAAAAGTTGTCACAAGGGTGTTTCATTGAGTATAATAATGCTTACCTATATGAATACAAATGTCCGAAAAGGTACAAACCCTTCAGTAGTTATGGAGATGCCAGCTTACAAGCAAAAATTTACCTAGAATTTCTAAGTTGAAAAAGGGGCATAATTATGCAAAAAAGCAAATCAGAGTTATGGGACTTGTCCCAATCATCTTAGATAATCACAGAGAACAAGTGTGTGAAGTTTCAATCCATTCCCTTAAAGATCCTGTAACACATTTTTTTCATGGTTTTATTTCATAAATATGATGCTCAAATTAAGATTTGTCAATCTTGTAAATTCAAATAAGCATTATCTATAAAGATATTACCCAATTTAACATTTTGCGTAAATAAATGGAGGTAATTAGAAATTTATTTTCTATAAATTCCAAGTCAAATTTTCCAATAAGTAATGAATGCATGTAACTTATTGATTAAATATAATGTGCACAAATATTTACAGTACACATTTTACATATTCTTGGATGTTTGAAAATTGTTTTATTTGCATAATTATATACATATATAATATTTTGCAAGTGTGTGATATACACAGTAACAAAATCAATCACAAAACATACAGGATCTTTAAGTAGTTATGGAGATACCAGCTTACACGCAAAAACGTAACCAAGAATTTCTGTCGAAAAAGGGGCATAATTATGTAAAAAAGCAAATCAGAGTAATGGGACTTGTGCCAATCATCTTAGATAATCACAGAAAACAAGTGTGTGAAGTTTCAATCCATTCCCTTCAGTAGTTATGGAGATACTAGCTTACATGCAAAAACTTAACCACAGGGACGCTGACGCCGACAAATGGGTGACTGCATTAGCTCGATTATTCTGCGAAAAGTCGAGCTAAAAATACATAGAACAGAAATATCATGCCTGATTTTTTAACAAACTGAGAGAAAAGCAACACTTTAAATGATTACAGCAATAACAACTTGCCAATATTACAAGTATAGAGCATAGTCTGTTTTCACTTCTGTAGAGCCTGCCCCGTAATGCTCGTCCATGGGTCCTGGTCAGTTTTCCGTTCAGAGGAACATGGCCATTTTTCACTTCCTTGGTAATCCGTATGTGGCCACTAATTCTGTACTATTGATGGCACAATTTTAGCAATTTTATATAAAAACATTAATAGTGTTAACAAAATTAATGAAAGTTCAACTTTCTGTTTTCAAAGCATGAAAAGTCCATGATGAAAAATCAGTAGGGTGAATGTTGTATTAAGCAGTATGTTAAACAGCCAGACATCACAATGTTTAGTAATCCCTGGGTCTCATCCTACATATCACAATCCCAAGAGCTGTCACTATTATAATTAACACTATTGCTAATGCTGTCACTGACCACGTGGCATACTCATACATCGTCGCATGTTCACTCTCTGGAGCTTGTGTAGTAAAATCTGAAATAAATATAATATATACAATGTATATTAAATATAAATATGAGCCGCGTCACAACAAAACCAACATAGTGCCTTTGCGACCAGCATGGATCCATACCGGCCTGCGCATCCGCGCAGTCTGATCAGGCTCCATGCTGTTCGCTATCAATTTCTCTACTTGTTATATGGTTCGTAAGCGAACAGCATGGATCCTGATCAGACTACGAGGATGCGCAGGCTGGTCTAGATCCATGCTGGTCGCAAACCCATTATGTTGGTTTTATTATGACCCGGCTCATTTTATTTCTAATTGAACCGCGCATGCTTTATTGTTTGTGTAGTTCAAACCTGTACATATAACCACAGGCAGTCGGTGTATGGATATTATACATAAAGTACATTATAAAGAAAATTATTAATAGTATTATATGGGTCAAATTAAAAAAACAACTTTCTTTTGTTGTTTTACTACAAATATGTTGTTTTAAAAACATTTTGAATAAAAAGATATTTAATTTATAAAAATAATACAAGTGGTCATGTACATGTATAGTATCCAAGCCACGCACCGACTGCCTGTGCATATTACAATTGAGTACTGTACAAGTCGTAATTTTCTACATGACATAATTATGTTCAGATCACAGCGAAAAGATTCAAATAATGTCATAAAACATAAAATATCTGATAAACCTGTTCATATCCATTCAATATATGCATTGAAAGGTGAGATAAGAAAATTAAGATTTTTAAAGTTAAAACATATAAACAGGTTATGATGAAGAAAATCTTACATGTCTCTCTGTTTGAAACAGCAAGAAAATACTCCCGCCAAAATGCGTAATTTCTCTGCCGATAGTTCACACTATTTTTTGATTTATTCCCGATGTCTAGGTATGAATGATTCTGTAAATTGTATTCTAGCCATGCTATGTTGTTAAAATTGCTCAGTGAAAATTTTGTGTCTGTAGGATTCCTAAAAAAAACCACAATTAAACACTGTTATCAATAGTAATTCAAATTATAAAATATGTTTAGGCCATCCTTAAAAAAATGTTTGTTTGCAGTAACCCGACCCAGAATTTTCAAGGTGGGTAGGTAGGTCGATTTTTTTTTTTTTTTATTGAACTGTACTCCCAAATAAACATGGAATTTCAAAATGCTGGACAATATATGCTTTGATAATCTGGTAACAATTAATAAATTGATAACTGAATTCTAATTTAATAAGACCTACATTTTATTTTGAGTAGGGGCAAATTTTGTAAGTCGGTCGCATTACTGCAAACCAACATTTTTTTAAGGATGGCCTTATCAGCATAGTAATTTATCAATAAATATGTTAGCCAGACTGCCACAGGGATTAAGCTAAATCATTTTACATTTTAGCCAGACTTTGACAAAAATGTATAAATAAACCGATATTGTATTAATGTGTCCTCTAGTACCCAAAGGCTGAAAAGTTAGTTAATAACCTGAGAATGTATAATTTGTCTAGTAACCTCCAGGAAATATTTTGATTATGTATTATCAACCTAATTGGAGTGCAAAAAGTTCTAAATATACTGATAATGCATTATTTTCAAATACCTACTCTCAGTCAGTGAAGTTAATAAATATACTGATTATATATTATTTCATTCTGAGAAGTTGGTTGTAAGTCTGAGAAGTTGGTAAATAAACTGATAATATACTATATTTCTGGTACCTAGAGTTGAGAAAATTAATTTGTACATACCCTGAATCTGAGAAGTTGGTAAACAAACTGATCATGTATTCACTGACATTCCTATCACTGTAATTCTTGTCGTACTCTTGTCTTGGATACACACCAAATAAATCTGTGTATGTTTCATTAAAATATGGGAAACCAAACAGGTACTGTAGCTCTTGTCCATGTGCAACACCTGTAAGTAGTAAACATTCTTTATAGTATCATATTTTTATTTATTGACACACATTTTCAGTAGTAAAAATTACTTAATACCATTTTCTTTATTGACAAACATTTTCAGTGGTAAATATACATTATACTATATATTTTTCTTTTATGACCAACCCTAGAAGTGGTAAAAATTCTTAATTACTTCATGTCCTTTTTAATGCATCCAGTGTGAGTGGTAAAACATTCTTTATACTGTAGCTGTTTCTTACTGACACACCCTGTATTGGGTGCGGTAAAAATTCTTCAAACTGAGCAACTATGTCTTTTTAAATGCACCTTGTCAGTTTTTAATTGTTTACACTGTCAAATAATGCTCTTACTGAATCACCCTGTATCGGGTTAATTTGCTTTCAACAGTGTATGTTATTTTAAACACACTCTGTAACGGGTAAAAATAAAATTATACCATATGTTTATTTCATTAGCACTAATTACATACTAAATGCACTATTAAAGATCAAAGAGATACAATAAAAATTAATGTAATACCTCTCCATGTAGGTAAGTAGTCATATCTTGACTTGTAATTAAACACATAGAAATATGTCTTGTTGTAGAGGTTCTGGGCTCTAATTGTCTCATCCATCCCCGTACCAAACAAATAATCTGACATCATCTATAATAGACAATTAATATACTGAAATAATGGTATGGTTACCATGGCAATGTGTATATATATAAATTATTTACTGCTTTAAACTCTTAAATTGTACTACATTACTTCAATGACAAGTTTATCTTATCAAAGTTTGTAACTTTGTTACCAGCACTTTCACTAGTTCATGGTATTTAAATGTTTCTTGCTTATGAAACGTCGGTGGTTCTACTCAGGTCATTTGTGCCTGAAAAAAAATGCACAGAAGGGCACCTGAGGTCTTCCTCCACCAGTAAACTG